GTTTGTTCAGTATTGCTGACCACATCAATGTTTAGTAATCGAGTGACCTCAGTTAATCCTGATTGTCAGATTCCCAAGTTATTTTTTGTCTAATCCCTGTATATCCCTGTACTTAGCTTTAGTACTAGATGGGATAGGAAGGATATGATAGGACAGGGGTCTTACTATATAGAATGTATTGTTTTTCTTTTAACCTCTTCCCGTCTGGCCTATGTCGATAAACGGCCGGAAGGAAGCGCTGCCGATGCAGGTGGACGTTTCTAAATGTCGCCCCCTCCCGCATCCATTGCCTGATGCCTTTGTGAAGTCCCGATTCATGTGGCCACTGAGTGGCCAATCAGTGATCACATGAATAGTAGTAAACAAGATGTCACTTTCTGACATCATTGCTTACTACTAGTGAAATCTGTGAATGATCACAGAGGTCACATGGTACAAGGCTATTCACAACAGCCTTGTACCATGTGACAAGCTGTGACCAATCACAGCTCTCACAGTATTTTTCAATGGCTGCAAGAATGCAGCCAGAGAGAAATAGAGATTATTGCTTTTACAGCTTTTATATGTTTGAAAGCAATCAGTGTAAAAAGGAAAATAAAAATCTTCATCACCCCCCGCAAGACACTGTACTGCTAGGGTGACAGTATGTTAAAAAAACAAATAATATATATATAAAAAAAAAAAAAAAGAATGTAAAAAAAAATTAGAAAAATTATAATTTTTGGTTATAAACTAATTTGGGTCATTTTGTTTTTACTAAAAAGATAGATTAATACATTTTGGTCAATATTTATGAAGAAAGATTATTTATTTGCAAACTTTAATAAGAAAAACACTTTTTTTTTTTTAATTTTTGGATTTTTCATTTATATATATATATATATATATATATATATATTATATATATATATAATATAAAATAAATATAAAAAAAAAAAAATCCCAGTGGTGAATAAATACCACCAAAATAAAGTTTTATCTGTCTCAAAAAAATGCAAAAAAAAAAATCATTTGGGTACAGTGTTGCATGACTGCGCAATTGTCATTCAAAGTGTGATAGCACTGAAAGCTGAAAATTGGCCTAGACAGGAAGGGGGTGAAAGTGTCTGGACTTGAAGTGGTTAATAAGTTTGTTTTTATATTTCCTGTTTAAATCACAGTGAGATGAAAAGGTTGGAACTGGAGAAGAAGCTGTTTCAGTACAACTCATCTGATGCACACATGTAAGTACAGCTGATACCTTTAAAATATTTCATTCTTTTGGGAAGCTCAGTTAGGGCTCTGTCACACCAGAATGCAATGTTGGAAACCTGCGTTCTGTGTACATTTCCTGTGCCGCGTTCAAAACGCACTGGGTGTGCCATCTGCTGCGGGTGTCCATTTATTTTTAATGACACCCCAAACACAGTGTGTTTCCCTGCACTGGATCGCATGGTACCACAGTACCATGTGCATGCACTACTTTTTGTGCCCTGCAGTGCAATTTCATTTCAATGCACAGGAGCGAACCAGCCCTTAAACCGTAACTACCCCCCCCCCCCCCCAGAAATACTTGTCTCAACCTTTTTGTTTTAGTTCTGCACTTTGGATAAGAGGGATCTGTTTATTAAAAAAAAAAAAAAAAAAAAATCAGTGTTCATGTCGCAGCATTTGTGCAAAAGTCACAAATCATGGCCATAATGTTGGTGATGTGTGTGAAATGTTTTTCCATAAATAGTGAAATGTCAGTTTTTTTTTTTTTTATTTGTTGCCTTTCCCAGGGTGAATGTAACATTTCCTTACATTCGAAAGTAAGAGTAAAAAGCCTTAAAGCAGGGGTGTCCACCCCCGGCGCACGGTCCGCATGCGGCCCAACAAAAAAAGTAGATTTTTTTGGGAGGGGGTATTTGTTTGCAAAAATGGGTTTATACTTCGTGAACATATGGGTAAAGACAAAACAAAAAAAAAAATTGAGTGTCTCCTTACTGGACTTGTATAAGGTTTTTTTTGTTTGTTTTTTTTTAATCTTCTCAAAGAAAATATCTCACTCTTCACAATCACACCTTATTCATGTCATCAATCTTCAGCAGCACCTATATTTGTGGGCAGCTATTTTCCAGGATAAAGCACACAAAGGGCAAAAATCTAATGAGCACCTTGAGAATTCATTGTGAATTGCTACTACGTCCATCAAACCAGATACTGATGCATTCGTTTATCAAAAACAGCGTCAACTATCGCACTAGTTTATGTTGCTCTCTTTCACATTTATAAAAATATTTTTAAAAAAATGAAGTTCTATTACTCAGATAGGTACATTATCTATATGAGTGATTAACTTGTGATCTGCCTGACTTTTTCTGCTCATCAGCTATCCTCATTGTTAGTGTATTTTATGTGTGACCCAATTCCTCTTCTTCCAATGTGGCCCAGGAAAGTCAAAGGGGTTGGACACCCCTGCCTTAGGATACGTTCACCCCTGCAGGCGGCAGGAGGCGTTTGGGACGTTGAAGCTTCCCAAATCCTCTACAATTCTAGTCTTGCAGCATGGTGCTGTTCTAACCGCAAAACGCCCTCGGCCGGTCAGTTTGCGGTCCTATTCTAGTCGGTGCTGTGCAAACGCGGTTTGCGGTGCGGTTGTGGGGCGTTTGCGGAGCGGTAACACCATTCAAACTTCATTCTAGGCGTTTGTGGGGCGTTTTTAACGCTCGGCAAACGCCTAGCAACCCCCGCTAAACCGCGCATGCGGCGTTTGCGAGCGTTAAAAACCGCTCCGCAAACGCCGGACCAACGCTTGCCAGACGCTATAGGGGCATTTGGCAAGCGTTGGTAAAACAGTCAAGTGTGAACGAGCCCTTATAGTGGTTCTAAACCCTCTCATATACCCAGTGAAGTGACTGGCCTCAGGTGATACACAGAGATGAAAAAAATCTGCAGTCTTCTCTTCTCTACATCCCTTAAAAGTGCAGAATTTATAAAGCCTGTACAGCTGTCAAAAAAGGGCGTGGGGAGCTGAAGTTACACTCCACAGAGCTCAGTGAGGGGAGCTCTGAGAGCAGATTGGAGGGAAGAGACACACCCCCCCTACACACAGCTCACAGGAACAGAGCTGAGGCTGTCAATCCTGGAGCTCCCTCCCCTGTCTCCATTTTTCTCTTAGTGTCAGGAAAACTTTTAAGCATTGATTCATTGCTGATAACAGAGGAATGAGGCAGCAGACAGAAATGACACTTAGTGTTCTTACTTGAGACAAGTACACACTCTTTAGGGATACTGTATGCTTTGTTCATATTTCATCTCTGAGGTTTACAACCACTTTAAAGTATAACTGAAGGCAAAACCTAACTTTTTTGTTTAGTAGAGATGGATTAGAACACCTGTCAGGGTTTTATTGCTGTCTGTGCCCTTGTTAGGGAGAATCACCCTCTCTATTTGTCCTGTTTACTGTTCAAAAGTGAAAGTTAAAGAAACTCCCAAATTCTGAATTATCCTCAGAAAAGTAATAGTGGGGAAAATTTTCCAATTGGAACAATAGTTCTGATGACAACCAAGGATTCTCTCACTTTGGAGGGATTTCCTCTCACTTGATATTTTGGCTATGGGATAGAAAATGAAGGGAAATCTACGTAATGGATGGCGAAAAAAAACCTGACAGGGGTTATAACCCTCCATTACTCTATCCAAAATAAAAAAAAAAAAAATATTTTGCCTTTTAGTTCTACTTTTAAGAACATTTGACTAGAAGAGTTAGGCCCATTTCACACGTGTGTTCTGTTTTTTTCATCGGTTCAGTCACGTTTTTTCCAAGAACAAATGGATCAGTTCACATCAGTTTTGCATCAGTTCACATCAGTTCACACATCAGTTTTGCATCAGTTCACATCAGTTTTCATCCGTTTACATCAATTTTTGTCCATTTTTCATCTGTTTAAATCTGTTTTTCATCTGTTTACATCCGGTTTTTGTCAGTTTACATCCAGTTTTTGTCGGTTTACATCAGTTTTTTGTCAGTTTACATCCTTTTTTGTCTGTTTTTTTTCATTAGTTCAGTCACGTTTTTTCCAAGAAAAAAATGGATAAATTTTTCATCAGTTTATGTCGGTTTTTCATAAGTTTACATCCATTTTTCGTCAGTTTTCATCCGTTTACAGCCATTGTAAAAAAAATAGGGTTTTCTTCCATTCAAAAAAACGGATGTTAATGGAATTGGACTTTAATGGATGTAAACAGATGACCATCTATTTACATCCACTAGTCCAGAGAAATACATGGGTGTCCGTTTTTCATCCGTAAATGAACAGATGAAAAACGGACATACGGAACGCCTATTTGAAAGGGGCCTTAAAGTGGTTCTAAATCCTAATGATTTTTTACCTTCATACATTCCCTGCTTTCAAGTACAAAATGTTTAGGTAGCAGAATTGCCCTCCCTCACCAACCCCCCTGCCCCTTTATACTTACCTGAGTCATCACTTGGTCCAGCTCTGTACCTATCTCATGCTGCTGTTGGTCAAATCCTGTGATGGAGGCAGGGCCGAGCTACGCTGTCTGTGTCTTTGGATGCAGGCAGCGTGGCTTGGGATAGAACCTGCATGAGTGCTCCCATAGCAAGCAGCTTGGTATGGGAGCACTCAGAAGGGGGGGCAGGAGTGCCAATGGGGGTCCTGAGAAAAGGAGGATCAGGCTGCTGTATGCAATTCCGTTGTACAGAGCAGGTAAGTATAACTTGTTTGTTATTTAAAAGAAGAAAAAAAAAAGACTACAATCACTTTAACCACTTGCCTAGAGGGGACTTATACCCCCTTCCTGCCCAGGCCAATTTTCAGCTTTCAGCGCTGTCACACTTTGAATGACAATTGCGCGGTCATGCAACACTGTACCCATATGAAATTTTTATCATTTTTTTTAGACAGATAGAGCTTTATTTTGGTTGTATTTAATCACCTCTAGGTTTTTTATTTTTTTGCTAAACAAACCAAAAACAACTTGAAATTTTGGAAAAAGTTTTTTCTTAGTTTTTGTTATAAAATTTTGTAAATAAGTGATTTTTCTCCTTCACTAATGTGCGCTAATGAGGCTGCAGTGATGGGCACTGATAGGCTGAACTGATAGACACTGATAGGTGGCACTGATGGAAACTGATGAGGAGGCACTGGTAGGTGGCATTGACAGGCATCACTGATGGGCATTGAAAGGCAGCAATGATATATGGCGCTGTTAGGTGGCACTGACTGGCGCTGTTAGGTGGCACTGACTGGCGCTGTTAGGCGTTAGGCACTGACTGGCACTGACGGCAGCACTGACGGGCACTGATAGGCGGCACTGATTGGCAGCACTGATAGGTGGCACTGATTGGCATTGGTAGGTGGCACTGACTGGAACTGATGGGTGACACTGAAAGGCAGCTTAGATGGGCACTGATATGTGGCATTGATGTGCACTGGTAGGCACTGATATGTGGCCTTGATGTGGCACTGATGGGCACTGGCATGTGGCACTGTTCAGCACTGACAGCTGACACTGATGGACACTGACAGGTGGCACTTCTGGGGCCACACTGATCATCAGGGCACACTGATCATCAGTGCCCTGATGATCAGTGTACATGTCCCCTCCGTGGAATGCTAATTACCGGCTCTCCTCTCCTCACGAGCTGTCAGCGTGACAGCTCGTGAGGAGAGAAATGCCGATAATCGGCATTTCCATGTTTACATGTGATCAGCTGTGATTGGACACAGCTGATCACATGACCAAGGCGACATCTTCGGCTCTTTCCGTTGATCGGTGATCTGCTGTCTCCGAGGGATACAGTGCACCGCCGATTGCCGCGCTGCGCGCTCACGGAGCCGTGCATGCGCGGTGAGAATGGGAGGTCGTCTATGACGTCCTCCAAGAACGAGAGAACCACCTTGCGCCCGTCATTGGACTATATGGAGGGCGGGAGGTGGTTAATCTTAGTATAAATACAGCTGTTCTGTGAAGCCCTCAGAGGTTTGTTAGAAAACATTAGTGAACAAACAGCATCATGAAGGCTAAGGAACACGGATAACACGGGCTAAAGTTGTGGAGACGTTTAAAGCAGGGTTAGGTTATAAAAAAATATCCCAAGCTTTAAACATCTCACAGAGCACTGTTCAATCCATCATCTGAAAGTGGAAAGAGTATGGCACAACTGCAAACATACCAAGACATAGCTGTTCACTTAAAATGACAGGCCAGGCAAGGAGAGCATTAATCAGAGAAGCAGCCAAGAGTCCCATGGTAACTATGGAGGAGCTATCCACAAGACAACTATTAGCCATGCATTCCACAAATCGGGCCTTTATGAAACAGTGGCAAGAAGTAAGCCATTGTTCAAAGAAAGCCATAAGAAGTCCCGTCTACAATTTGCGAGAAGCCATGTGGGGGACACCGCAAACGTGGAAGAAGTTGCTCTGGTCAGATGAGACCAAAATTGAACTTTTTGGTCTACAAGCAAAATGCTATATGTGGAGGAAAACTAACACTGCACATCACCCTGAACACACTATTCCCACTGTGAAACATGGTGGTGGCAGCATCATGTTATGGGGATGCTTTTCTTCAGCAAGGACAGGGAAGCTGGTCAGAGTTGATGGGAAGATGGATGGAGCCAAATACAGAGCAATCTTAGAAGAAAACCTGTTAGAGTTTGCAAAAGACTTGAGACTGGGGTGGAGGTTCACTTTCAAGCAGGACAACAACTCTAAACACACAGCCAGATCTACAATGGAATGGTTTAGATCAAAGCATATTCATGTGTTATAATGGCCCAGTTAAAGTCCAGACCTAATCCAATTGAGAATCTGTGGCAAGACTTGAAAATTGCTGTTCACAGACGCTCTCCATCCAATCTGACAGAACTTGAGCTATTTTGCAAAGAAGAATGTGCAAAAATTTCACTCTCTAGATGTGCAAAGCTGGTGGAGACATCCCCAAAAAGACTTGCAGCTGTAATTGCGGCAAAAGGTGGTTCTACAAAGTACTGACTCAGGGGGACTGAATCCAAACGCACGCCACACTTTTCATATATTTATGTGTAAAGAATGTTGAAAACCATTTATCATTTTCCTTCCACTTCACAATTATGTGCCACTTTGTGTTGGTCTATCACATAAAATCCCAATAAAATGCATTTACGTTTTTGATTGTAACATGACAAAATGTGGAAAATTTCAAGGGGTATGAATACTTTTTCAAGGCACTGTAAATGCCCAGGTGTTCACCTACAAAGAAATCCATAAATCAATATAATTGCAGAGGAGGAAGATCAAAAAACAGCAGTGTTTCTATTGTCAACGTTTCGATGAAGTCCATCTTTCTCAAAACACTACAACATAGATGTGAACAGACTAAGAAACACAAAGTCCCACTCACCAACAACACCCTCTAGTGATGACCTCACACAGTGCAATGGTTAAAAGACACATACAAGGAAAAGGTAAAAAAATCAAAAAAGGAATAAAACACAATTAATCAAGAAAGCAACATATGCAAAATCCTAGCTGAAATCAAGCTATCCAAAACAGCTCCTACATAAAGATGACAAATTGCAGAAAAAGTGGAACAAACAAAGCAAGTAATGAATACACACAAGATTTATTTATTTCAGGTACTTCTATAGCGCCGTCAATTTACACATATATATTTGTACATTCACATCAGTCCCTAACCCTCAAGGGGCGTACAATCTAAGGTCCCGAACTCACATTCATACATACACATACTAGGGACAATTTAGACAGGAGCCAATTAACCTACCAGCATGTCTTTTGGAGTGTGGGAGGAAACCGGAGTACCCGGAGGAAACCCACGCAGGTACAGGGAGAACATGCAAACTCCAGGCAGGTGGTGCCGTGGCTGGGATTTGAACCAACGATCCTAGTACTGCCAGTGGAAGTGCTAACCATTTAGCCACTGTGCTGCCCCCAAGATGACCACCCTAGCACATGGCAAACACCAGGCAGGCATGAACCATCCATAAGTACCCTGAAAAAATAAAACAACAAGTGATGTGCTAGGACAACAAAGCAGTAAATGAAAAATGACCAAACGGCCACAAAATTACTACCCAAGACCAAACACCCCACATGTGCCAAAAGTAAACAATTCTGAGACCATAAATCCACAGAAAACACTGACAGTGCACAAAGACGGGAATACATACAATGTACAGCACGTACTATAAATCAGTTTTCCACTACCAGATAGAAGAAACCTCCTCTGCAACTATTTATATAGAGGAGTCCTTCTTTCTCCTTGGGGTGGAGGAACTTGACTGACCTCAACCCGATAGAACACTTTTGGGATGAATTAGAGTGGAGAGTGCGGGCCAGGCCTTCTCATCCGACATCAGTGCATGACCTCACATATGTGCTTCTAGAAGAATGGTCAAACATTCCCATAGACACACTCCTAAACCTTGTGGACAGCCTTCCCAGAAGAGCTATAGCTGCAAAGGGTGGGCCAACTCAATATTGAAACTTTTGGACTAAGACTAGGTTGCCATCAACCACTTGCCTTCCTGAGGATTTACCCCCCCCCCCCCCCCCCCCCTCCTGACCAGTCCATTTTTGTGTTACGGCGCTGCGTTACTTTAACTGACAATTGCATGGTCATGCAACGCTGCACCCAAATAAAATTTATGTCCTTTTTTCCCCTACGAATTGAGCTTTCTTTCGGTGGTATTTGATCGCCTGTGCGTTTTTTTTTTTTTTTTTTTTGCACTATTAAAAAAAAAAAATGACTGACACTTTTTGAGTAAAAACAATATTTTTGACTTTTTGCTATTAAACATGTCCAGTAAAAAAATATAATATATATAATTTCATCATAAATTTAGGCCAAAATGTATTCTGCTACATGTCTTTGCTAAGAAAAAAATCCCAATATGTTTCAATTAATTGTTTTACGTGAAAGTTATAGAGTTTACAAATGGCGGTATATATACTGGGATTTTTTTTTTAAATTTTTCCTAGTAATGGCGGCGATCAGTGACTTATAGCGAGACTGAGGGACTGCGGCGGGCATTATGACACCGGGGGAACTGACTTGGTATCACTGGCATCCCGAGTGACACCAATACAGTGATCAGTTCTAAAAAAAAAAAAAAAAAGCACTGACACTGTACTAATGGCACTGGGCAGGAAGGGGTTAACATGAGGGGCGATCAGAGGGTTGCTGTGTGTGTTTTGCTATGGGGCCGTGTGTTTGTGCTTCACTGTAATCACACTGCCTTGGATGGCTGTGCTGTGTACAGGCTTCCAAAGCAGTGTGCACGAGCTAACAGGGAGGAGAACTGTTTTGTTTACAAACAGTTCTCATCCCCATCGGAGATGGTCGTCAATCACCAGGCGCCAGTGAATGGCAGCGCGGTTTGGCGCGCGTGTGATTTTCGCACAACCCCTACCCGGAAGGTGCAAAATCACATATATGTACGTGATTTTGTGCACCCGTGCTGTCCTGTAGCAGTATATCTACCATAGGGCGGTCAAGAAGTGGTTAAAGTACATGTGTGTGTAAAGGCAGGCGTTCCAATACTTTTGCCAATATAGTTTATATAGATATATACAGTATGAACAGGGCTCAACAAATCCCAGGAGCCAGGTTGCCATGGCTACTAGAAATTGAGTCCTGGCGCCTGGCTTCACACACTTCCTTCCATTGACTTCAATGCAAAATTGCGTCCCATTGACTTCCATGCAAAAACACTTCCCACTGATTTCAATGCAAAAACACCTCCTATTGACTTAAGTGCAAAAACTATGAACATTTATCTCCGCATGCCACTTTTCGCAATGGCACGCAAAACACAATGCATGTGGATCGCATCTGTTTGAACCACCTCAATAAGAACACATAATATCTAGCCTGTCATGCAAACCTGTGAGTTTGAAAACGCATCCAGAATCACATATATGTGAGCCAGGGTGGCTCAATTCACAATTGGGTGTTTTGGGATCATGGCAGAATCGATGTGATCGCAAAATGCAGTTTCAGGTGCCATTATTTTCATTGCCACTTAAAATGTGGTGTGGTTTTGACACAATTGTTGTCGACAAATCACATTGTGTGAAGTTTGTTGCACAAAAAATTGCCTTGCCCCATGCGCTGTTAAATCACACTATGCTATATAGCTCAAAAAAATTAAAGGAACACTTTTTTTTAAAACAGGGTATAGCATCAAGTCAATTAAACTCCTGGGATATTGATCTTGTCAGTTAAAGTAGTAGAGGGGATTGTTGATCAGTTTCAGCTGCTTTGGTGTTAATGAAATTAACAGGTACACTAGATGGGCAACAATGAGACGACCCCCAAA